TGACACCCCAGCAAGCTATCCTTTGGATCAGGTGACCCCACTAGGCTGAAAGCAGACAACAAGCTCTGTCAATCTGACTGGAGCCCATTGAAAACACCTTTGCTGGCTGAACAAAACAAAACAAAAAGATGCTTCCCCACCAAAAAAGAGATGATTCCCCAACGGGTTTCCCCACACTGAGCTTTTTACATCATGCAGTCGCTGTGTTTTAATTTGAGTTCATGTGTGCCCCCATCTGATGCCGATTGCACGGTAAATGGCTTTCGTAGTCCCCTCTGTGTTGAGGAGGTTTAAGGACATTTTAAGATGCCTTTCTCATGCATTGTGCCATTCTATGACCATTCTGTTCATCAATAATCCTTGTTCTCAATAAAAAGCAAGAAATGTGGTACAGCAAAGCTTGGCAACGAATAGTGTAGCAGGTTACCTATTGAAACGGTACCTATTGAAACACTGCAACAAGTGAGGACAATGAATTCCTTTTAAACCCTGCAATAAGCAACTTGCTGGGAGAAAAGGGGGGTGGGTACCAAAATAGGAAAGAAGGCCTGCAGAAGCATCCTTAGGTATTATATGCAGAAACAGGGTCCTAGCTGGCTGATCCCTGTCATAAGAGCTGTCTCAGATATAGAGACAGAGGAAAGGAGAGAAATTATGATGGCCCGTTGCCTTGCCATCCTATGTTCCAGACGGGGGATTTTTGGGGGGTTTAGGGTTTTGTTTGTTTTCTTTTAATATGTTTTATATGTTTTGTATGGCTTTCATGTTTTTAGCTGTATCTTTATAATATTTTGCAAGCTGCCCAGAGTAGGGTTGTGCTCACTCAATGGGTGGGGTGCAAACCAACCAACCAACCAACAAGGTGGGGCAAAGTCAAAGGACGAGGGCTCCCACTCTCTATTCTCCTGGCCCCAGCTCGTCAGGACAATTCCCGGGATGACTTATGAACAGACACCACTGGGAGGCACCTGCCAGTTCATACAAAAGCATCTGTCAGCCTCAGCCAGGACCGAGTTGGCAGCAGCCTCTGAAAAGAGAAAGCAAATGGAGCTCGTCGTAGGGGGATTTTCATCTCCTGCTGGCCTGATTTAGGTCCTGTAAAGCAGCCATTCTCAACCTTCTCTCTCCCCCCCCTTCTTTTTGCCACAGCCCTTTTAAGAACACTTCTCAGGTTCTAAGATCTCCTCTTAAATAAGGATACAACACAAACAGAAATAGACAATGTTTCAGTCTTTGGCCCCCTTCAAATGGGCTGGGGTGCCCCAGGGGATCAATGTGGCCCCTGTTGAGAATGGTTGCTCCAAAGAAAGTTTCTGAGAAGCAGCTGTTTAGAGTATCTTGACCTAAACTTCAGTCATTGCGAAACCCACATTATCTTAAAACCTAAGGATATTTAATTCATTGCAATGTTCACCCCCTCTCTCTGATTTTCTGCTCTCTGACACAGACACTTCTGTTTAAGTGACTCTCTAAGCTGACATCCCTATTGGTGGAACCGTGTGAGTAACTTATACAAGGTTGATACAACAGGGTACGAGATATAACTAACAAAATGTACTTGGATGTTAAAGCAGGGGTCCCCAGCCTTTTTCACCCCATGGACTGGTTGGGGAAGGTGGGGGACCCCCCGCGCTCATGTGCGAATGAGTGCACTCTCTCTGTCGCACACAAACAGGCTGTGCAGGGGTGAGTGCATGCAGGGGGTAGGTCTGTCTTCACAGCCCAGTCCGGCTCAGGCCATGGACCAGCACCGGGCTGCGGACCGGGGGTTGGGGACCTCTGCGTTAAAGGTTCAGAAAACTAGAAGCCTCATTGCACCAAACTAAATTGTTAGGGCTGCAACCTTAAACACACCGCAGGCCTTACAGAACACAATACTGTACATCAGGGGTGCCCAACCTTTCACCTTCCATGGGCCACATTAAAAGATGAAAATTTGGTTTGGCCCGCGCATAAATTGGGTTTGGGCCACATGGAGGGGCAGCCCTAGCCGTCCTCCGCAGCCCCACTCCAAGCGCGCTTACCGGCAGCTGCGATCTCAGACAGCAGAGGCTGCCAGCTTCGACTCCGGTGGCTTTATGGGGTCGGGAGGGGGTCCACCTATTGATGGGGACGGCGCAATGCAGTCATGCAGCCCCCTCTCCCCTCCCCTCCCACTCCTTTCTTCCTCCCCTCTCCCATTGTGACGTGCCCCAGCCACATTCCAGCCGCAAGTGCCAGCAGTGCAACTTGAAACTTTGGAATTTCTTTTAAAATAAAAAATTGCACTGAGCTGCATTATGAGCCAACCTGGGCCGCATGCGGCCCATGGGCCGCAGGTTTGACAAGGCTGCTGTACATTTTCTACAACTGAATGGAAATAATTCTATCCTGCAAAGGCCTCACAAGGTCTAATATTGTTGGGTCTGCTTTGATTCAAGCCAGTGGGCTGCTGAAATGTAGATGCGACGGGGACCATAGTCCCTGTTTCTGTGGCTTTAAGCATTTTTTTTTCTAAAGTTGAGCCAATAGATATTTTTGTATTACAACTCCTTGAAGCCCCAAGCATTAGCTGCCCTAGCCAGAACTTCTGGGAGTTGTAGTTGAATAACATCAGGGGTCCCTGGTCTGGGAACCATTGAATAAAAGAAACAATTTGTTTCAACTGACTAGAGGTAGGTCGTAAAGTTGTTGAGAGCAATGTTTTTTTTTTATAAATTGAAGTTTCTCAAGGGTAAGTATTTATAGGAACACTGTCATGGCTCTCTGTGTTATGCTGATGAAGAATATTATAGCATCATAAGCAGAAACTGAGCTGGAGGGGAATACGTTTTGTGGCTTAGAAAATGGCTCAAATGATTGATCTGATACTTGGCAGTCTAGGAAAGGTTGCTTTCAGAACAGTCTGTACCAATTTTGAGGCAGAAAGGATCAGAAATGGCTTTTTTATAGGAGTTCATACGTTAAAAAGTACATTATGGTAAGCTGACTTTTTTTTCCGTATGAACTTCGCTGGAGTACTATTAATTGGCTGATTTCTCCATTTATACTGTATATTTTGGGAAATGCATGTGTGTGAGAGAGACAGAAACAGACAGAAAGACAGAGACAGAGAGACTCTCACTGTGTGTGTGTGTAAGAGAGAAAGAGGTGTCTTACTTAAGAGTTAGGTTAGCTTTAACCTAAGAGTATTGGAACATAGTTTTATGAGTCAGGTTTTTAGCCTGTTTTATGGGAGTTCCCTCAGGTTTTCTCTCTGGGTGTTTTGTTGGTTTGTTTTGAAAAGACACTCCTGGAAACGCCTACGTTTGGGGACATCCTGCGTCCCTCTCTTTCACCTTCTCATTCTTCCTGGAGATGTAGCTTTGGGGACTTTCAACTTCTTCTTCCTAATTCACCACGACTGAGCTGATTCTGGCGCCAGAGAGTCTAGCTGGACATCACAGCTCTATTTTTTTTTTCTTTACAATCCGTCAGGGCCAGATACTAGATAAGGTGAAACCAGAAAACTCAGATAAGGAGATGTTTACTTTCTTCCTGTGGGATGCTTCAATCCATTTCTCTGAGGAAAAATAAAGCTGATGAGGGAGGCGGGCAGGGCTGCAGGCCTATAATAGCCCTTTAGTAACTCTGCCAAAAAGAAGCCTGAGGGAAGGTCATTGAGTGGCTCTTGTCCTTTTTTCCCCCTGTGTAACCTAGCCTCTCCAAAAGGAAAATGTAGCACAAACCTAGCCATGTCTACTCAGAACTCACACTGAATTCAACAGTAAAGTGGTGTAATGTTCAACTGCACTCTACTTCAACTGCTTGAACATTAAGAAAAGACAATGTTGACAACTGAAGTAGTTGAAAATGCTGCAGCCAGATTGCTGACGGGGGCTGGTTACAGGGATCACATTCCCCCGCCCCATTACAGCAGTTCTAGTGGATGCAGCCCCCTCCCCATTACAGCAGTTCTAGTGGATGCAGATCAGTTACCGGGCAAAATTTAAAGTGCTGATTTTGGCCTACAAAGCCCTAAATGGCCTGGGTCCAAGCTATCTTAAAGACTATATATCTCATTATGAGCCGCCTCAAGTGTTAACATCATCTGGAGGGGCCTTTCTCTCAGTCTTGCCACCTTCATAGGTGTGTCTGATGGGAACACAGGAGAGAGCCTTCTCTGTTGCTGCTCCCAGACTCTGGAACTCCATGCCACAGGAGGCCAGACTGGCCCCATCTTTGCTGTCATTGTGCAAGTAGGCAAAGACCTTTCTCTTCAGGCAAGCCTTCCCACAGTAAACAGCTACATGCACGTGAATTTTACATAGAATGCTATGCATTACTGCTTTAATTAGATCTTTAGTACTACAGTACTTGAGTTTTCCATTTTTTGTTTTCTATTTCTCAGAGTGACATTTTTAAATTTTTGTATACTTATTGCCTTAATATTGCCTGTTAATGATGTAAGATGCCTCTTTATTCATTGTTCGTAGTGTTAAACATTATATTTTAATGATGTTAACCACCATTGTATAATCATTGTTTTTTCTCTCAACTTTAAATATTGTCTTTCATTGTTTTAAGCCTCCTTGGATCCTTTTTAAGGAGAAAGGCGGGGTAAAAATATTTGAAATAAATAAAATAAATTGGATGTACCTTGGTCCAATCATAAATCCAAATGGAAACTGAAGCAAAGGAATCACAAGACAGAGGGCTTGATCCCACTTGCAAAAGAAATGGGATTTGCGTTGGGGTCCAGAATGTTTTAATGCATACAGTGGGGCCTTGACTTAAGAACGGCTCGAGTTAAGAACATTTTGACTTAAGAACCACTCTCATAGGCAAATATTGACTTGACTTACATACTTAGATTTGAGTTAAGAACTGAAAAAAAACCACGTGGGAGGCAGGGAAAGTGCAAAATTTGAACTTTCAGTTAACTGCTG